ATGTAGCTTTCTAGGGACAAAAAGAAGTCCAGCAAAACCATAGGGCTAGGGACAGAAATAACACATGAACTGGTATTAGTGTTCGGAAACCAGTTCATATCTGTAACACAACAGAAGTTCAGTGCATATAAACCGCTTTCAAAATGGCCAAAACTGGCTTCAGATCAACCTGGGTGGATGTAGTATCAGACTGAACTGATTTAGATGAAATTGGTTTATTAAACTTCTGTCCCAGATCCCCTCCAGATTCAAGTTAACTCACAGTCCCCCAGCATCCCAGGGTGCTTTGCACATCTCCTGCAAATCCACGCTCACAAAATGGGCAGGCTAGCCTTGGCCCAAGCTGTTTGCTCCAGCCCAGCAGGGAGGTATGCTCTAGCGCACCCCCCCCCCCCCCCCCCGGCTTCTGGCCTGAGCCGCTGCAGACATATGGCTGCATTTCCAGAATCAAAAGTAAACATCTGTTCACTTGCTTATCGGTTCAATCTATGTAACTTAGACTAAGCTGTGGTGTTTGAACTGATTCAGCTGCAGGCTTTTTGACTGGCTGTACTTAGCCATGTTTACCTGGAAGTCATAGAAATACATCCAGAGGGCCTGTGTTCGCAGGCCAGTAGCTTGCTGTCAGTGCCATAATGGAATAGCAGGTTTCAGGCAGTGGACTGTGGGATTCCTCTGAAGAACATCATCAGTAGCTTTATTCTACTTGTCTTTGAAGCTGTTGAAGGGTGAGCTTTCAGTTAACACTCGTGAGCTGCCCAAATTGAAGTGGATTAATGAATAGGTTGAAAACAGTGAAACCCTACCAGGTACCTCCATTAGGTATTTTAAAACCTGCAGACTACAAGACCTGCTTGTGAAGAGAGCAGGTGGTGGTAGAAATTGTGTATTTTGCTTTCCTTACTCCTTACCGACCACATCTTACATAGCGCTGTCTTCATATAATTGGCCATTGTCGCATGGAATATGCCGACACGAGTTAAAAACAAAAGGAGTCAAAAACACAGGTAACTAGCTGCAAAAGAGTGCCCTGAAACCCTAGTTTCTAGATTTCTAAGTATAGTTGATAATATTCTTTTTTTAATACAAGTCATATTTTAGACCTCCTAGATCAGGATTCTGTGGGCTTTCATCATCACAGTAAAATGGATTCTTGCCCAGGTAAATGATTTTCCAGGTCAGGTTCTTAAATATCAATCCCATATAACTTGTACAGTATTAGACAGAGCTTTGTTTTTTCAGTGTCAGCAAGGGAACCTGGATTGCATCCAGCCTGTTTACAGTTTAATCCAAGCTCCAGCAAATACGAATTTCATTATAGACCCATTTTCCCAGTTAGAGCTGCGTACGGACAGACATGAGCGTACGGAAGCACCAGTATCCTCCAGTATATTGGTGTTTCTGGTCTGGAATGTAGATGTTATGTAATGTGTACGTTTTTGTTGTTGGTTGCTTTGGGTTCAGCACTTCTTCTGGCTATGCCGGTATTATTGCTATTTCTACAATTCCCCAGTATTGCAGGTCCATTGCTGGTAATGCAAATACAGACTGGTTGCCATTCCTTAATTAACACGTCACTTAACCCTGCCCAGTTGTGAGGAGATGACTGACAGGCTAGCTAAAATTAGTATTCTGACTATTGATACATCTCATTCATATCTTCAGTTTGGCCAGGGGGGGAAATAGCTGAAAAAGATTTATATAAATATCAGCAAAAAAGGAAAACTGCTGCATATTTTAAGGGATTTCTTTTTAATTTAGGTCATATCATGCATCCTTTTTAATATCAGAAAAATGAAATTTGAGTATTTGTCACATCTAATAGTACCAATTGATGCTATCCCTTTAAATCAAATAGTGGGTCTTTTTTAAAAAAATACTCGTCAAATTAGATCGTTTTCTCCCCTCTGAGAAAAACCTTTCTGGACCCTGGTCACTCTTCCTGATGAAGGAGAACATTTTTATTTGTACTTCAGTAGGTGATCTGTAAATCCTCAGCTCTGGTACAGGCTTGCCTGACACTGCTACCTGAAGTCCTTCCCTAGGGTTGTATGTTCTTACTTTTTGTCAAAACAAGCTGTCTTTGTATATTAGCACTTTGTAGAGAGAGTTTCATGTTTGTCTCTCTCCAGCAAGCTGCTCTGAAGCAAGTATAATGTCCCAAAACACCTCTTTTTTTTCTCGGAACAAATTAAAAAATCATAGTAAATAAAATTATATATGAATAGCTATGTCTTTCACAGCCATAGTTTCTGTGACAAAAACTTTAACATTTTAAAAATGTGGTTTTGTTACTCCCTTTTTCTGCACAGTGAAGACAGTGGTATTGTAGCAGGGCACTGGTATGTGTCTGCTCCTTCAAGGGGAGCTAGCAGCCTGCAAGGCTGCTTGCCGGTGGTACAGGGGGCTAATGAGAGACTCACCTGACTGGAAGAGGGCTTAGGCTGGAGCTTTATAACTCTGAAGCCTGAGCCAGTCAGGCAGTCTCCCCCTGGCAGCCACAAAGTGAGGAGCTTCTGGCAGTAGGGCTCCTGAAGGGACTGGAGTTTATATAACCAACCCTGCAGGCCTGGGAACAGAGGAAGGTTACCTGGGCAGAGGAAGACAGAGTTTTGCAGGCAAGTGGCCTTTTATTTTGAACCCACAGAGGGCCCATGTGCCCAGGGAGGGGGCAGTGTGCAGGACCAGGAGCCCAGGGAAGGGACGGTATCTAGGACCAGGGGTCCAGGAAGGGATGTGTAGGGGAACACCTGCAAGGCTCGTGGCACGGTGTAGGGGAAGCAAGGAGCCTTTAAGGAGACAGGTACCCAGTGGGCTACAGACAGGCTGAGAGGGCCTGCTAACCTGGGGGCTCAAGACTGTGACTGAGGAGACCCAGGAGAGGCCCAGTGGGGATTGACACAGGCTCAGGCTCACTTGGGCAGTCTCCCTTTTATAACCTTCATTAAGAGCAAGGTGTAGCAGGCGAGATTCAAGGGTACGGCTGCAGCCGGGCAGGGGCTACATGGCTACCAAAGGGTGTCCTGGCTGTTCCTGTGACCAAGGATGTGCTACAGGCATAAACTCTGATAGATTTTTCCTAAATTACATGATTATAATGAGGTATAATAATGTGTATGAAAAATCTGCATCATGTATCTGTCATTAATATTTAAAGAACATAAAAATTTTCCAAGAGCAAATAGAAACATTACCTTGAAAATAACAATTTTCAAGAAGGGGTGGCTGAATGCCAGGCTCCTAAAATCCATAGTCTGGTACCTAAATAAGTGACTTGACTTTCTTTTGAAAACTGTCAATTACTCATTGTTCACATTGAAGTGAACAAGCTGACATTTATTGAGTGCCTAAATATAGATTTCAATGCTTATTAAAAATTAACCCAGTCCAGATTAAAATATTATTTGAAAATAATATCAATCTGTTTTGTCACAATAAGCAGCTTGTTATAAGTACTCAAAATGTTTCAGTCTGATGCACTATGGACCTGAAAGACATGGTCGCTGTATAAATCAGTTAGTCCAAGTAATGGGAGTTCATCCCAGAAGACTATTCTTGACCTACTCGCATGAAATTCATCTTCAGCCTGTCAGTGACCAGCAGAAAAATCCCTGCCAAGAAGCATTATGTATAACCCATCACCTTTAACCATGTCACCCCTTCTCTTTGCATTCCTCCACTGGCTCCTTTTACTCTGTAACAGCAGCTGCAACTGACTTGTCATCAGTCTCGGCTCTCTTCACAACTATCCTTGCTATAACTCTCCTTTACAGCTTCCAACGCTGAGGCCTGCTGAATCCTAATTTGGAGACTGGAGCTCTACTATCTTGTTTAATACCCACCCATTAACCTGTCCTGCCTGAATTTTGAATATGGTTAAATTGTCATCTTGTGGCAGTGAGTTCCATAAGTTAATTGTACAGTGTGTGTAAAAAACAAACAAACAAACAAAACTTGCTTTCATTAGCTTTTTAGCCTGCTTCCTAATGACTTCCTTGTATGTCTCCTAGTTCTGATATGTTATGAGAGTTGGTAAATGGTAATCTCTCTCTACATTCTGTGCGCCATTCATTATTTTATAGGCCACCGTCATATCCCCATCACTGTCGTCTTTTCCTGAAGCTAAAAATTCCTGGTCTATTTAGACTTTCCACGTACAGAAGCTGCTTCAAGCCCATATGATCATCCTTGTCACCCTTCTCTATACTTCTTCTAGATCTATTGTATCCTTTGAGGTGGGTGGCACCAGAACTGCACACAGTATTCAAGGTGTGAATGTATCAGGGATTTATGCAGTGGCATAATGGCCTTTTCTGTCCTTCAGCCAATTGCTGATCCATGAGCAGACCTTGCCCCTAATTCCATGATGGCCCAATTTCCTCCACAGCCTTTGGTACAGGACTTTGTCCAAAGCTTTTTGAAAGACAAAGTACATTGTACTAACTAGGTGGCCTTGATCCACATGCTTGTTGATACCCACAAAGGACTCTGGTAGGTCAGTAAGGCATGACCTCCATTTACAAAAGGCAAGCTGACTCTTCCCCACAAGGCCTGTTCACCCATGTTATAGACCAGTGGTGTTCAGCATCTGGCAGAATGTGGTTTGTGGAGGTTCTCATGGGTCTGCATTTGTCAGTGGGAGAGCAGTGGCAGCATTTATTGCTGTGGCTTCCAGAAGACCCCATGCTAGATGATGGACCTGGTCATCTTCCAAGGTCCCTTCCAGCCTTACAATCTATGAATCTATCTAGCTCCAGCCCATGGGGTTGAGCAACATGGTTGTAGACCACCCTGATTTTCTGTTATGGGTTCTACCAGTTAGCCAGGAGCAGAAGTTAGGCTCTCACTGATCTGTAGTTCCCTAGAACCCTTCTTGTAATCCCCTTTTTAAAGATTGGTGCTGTGTTAACTACCCTCCACTCCTCCAGTACATAGGCTATTTTTAGGTTACATGCTGTTTGTTTTTCCATTTTAAAAATGGTTTTGATTTTTCTCCCTAGACATCAGACACCCGGAGGAACTCTCTCTTTTGAGGAAACCCAGAGATCCGACAAAGAAAAAAAAGAAAAAGCTAGATGATCAGTGTGAAGATGAAGCACTGGAACTGGAGGGACCGTTAATCACTCCAGGATCAGGTGAGTCTAGTTGCGTCTTCATTGGTTGTGTGAAGTGGTGGATGGGAACGGGGAGAGGAAAGGTGCTGAAGGAAGGAAAGAAGAGTCAAAAAATGTATATTGGAGCCCTTGTGAAAAGGAAATGTGTACTGGTCACACCTAATCGATTGATTTCGGTGCACTGCAAGTAAACTCTGCTAAAGTCATCCAAGATTATATACTGTTTTGCAGTGACTATGAATGCATTCTCAGGATTGCTTCAGTCATAAAATAATGAAACACAGATAAAAACCATTGAACTTGATCCTTGTAGAACTTGGATCTTGTTACTGATACGCTTTCTGACCCTGTTCTGTGGCAAGTTAAATAGGGTACCGTTCTTAACTTTGAATTTCCAAGCTTTTTGTCCAATATTATCATTCTAAATCTTTTATACAAATGTGTTGCATATTGGCCTGTGTGCGCAGAAATTGTTCTTGTATGAATTATGAAAGACCAAACGGTCAGTGTTCTCTATTCTCAGCAGATTCTACAAAGTTTTGGCAACTTTCTGCTCGTCTTAATAGTCTTTATTCTTTTTAATATTAAAGTCTGCAGCTAATACAAAAGCCTGATGTTCTTTGTTCTGTGTCTGATTTTCTAATGGTTAAATAATTGGCAAATCTGGTTTGAACTAAGATCCTGTTAAATATAAACTGCAATTCCTGAGATGTGCTATTGCACCAGCTGGTGATGTTTGGGAGTTCAGGGTTTGAAAGAGCCATACAGTATCTTTAATAAATGACCTCACCAGTCAGTCAGATGAGACTATTTGACCTAGAATGGCCCTTTAACGAATCTTGATACTATGCACTGAGTATTTGCATGCACACATTCCAAAAGTCTTGCATATAAGTCAAACAAAGGGTAGAAAATGGGGACAACTGGTTAGTAAAAGACTTCTCTGAGTCGGGTATATCATTGTTGATTGGCCTGAAGGAGATACTAGAGGAGAATATGATAATTCTGTTACAAGAAGAAACAGTGGCTTTAGATTAGTAAAGAAGTCAGGTAAAAATACACTTTTTAGATGATTTAGATATCCAGGTTTAGCATTGTTCCAGGCAAAACTGTATGGACCTGGTTTGAAGGAGGTCCTTAAATCCTTGATGCCTTCCGTGTTGGAAGTATGTTCTCATCTTTTAACTAGCACATACATAATCAAGTCCATAAATGTTGAATAACTTAAGAGGCAGCTGCACCTGGCAAGAATATTGACAATGGATCTTTTGGAGTCGGTAGCAAAGAGAGAAAGAATGGGAGTGTCCCCTGGAAACTGTCTGGCCGTCTTCATTGTTATTGCATTGTATTTAAATAATTAGTTATATTTTCAACATGCCAACTGTGTTCTTGAGCTGAAAAATCACAATATATGATTGGCATTTTGGGAGTACATCTCAGCAGATTTCTATATGAAATGTTGTCTGTGCATTTATTTTTGACAAATCAATGTGTAATTTATCAGAAAACTTGATTTAAATATTC